TGAGGGCAACTTTATACTTGGCTGAGGCAAATGCATGCCTGACGAAGGTGTTACATACCGAAATATCGCGGAAGATTTCAAAGGCTTTTGGAATTGCTCTTTGGAATTTTGGAATTTTTGGAAAATTTGGAGTTTTTGTGGACTCGAATTTGAAGTTTTTGTGAACTTTTGCAATTTTTTTGAAATTAAAATGGTAAGTTTGTGTTGTGCTGCCTCTAGCGTTTTGTTAATCTTTCATACTTGCTTCTTTGCTTTTTTCACCGTCTTTCTGTGGGGTTTTTTGGCTTGTTCTCCCAAATGGATCGCTCTGTGTAGAGAAAAGTCTGTTTCGCGAACGACCAGAAAGCCCTTTGTGGCTACTATGGATACGGTGGCTTCCACATGAAGCCAGCGGCAAAGTGGTCCTTCTTTTGTCCCGCATATTCTGCACCAGTACCATTGAGCGACGGCAAGTTGCCTTGCTTCAGGCCGTTCCTTCGATGTTTTATCCAGTGCTGCACCTTTTAGCAGCCGTACATTCATTCCCAACAAAAGACTATTTTATCGCACCATCTGCCTTTAAGTCAGCCACTCTAACCATTACGCGATCTCACTTAGATGGAAAACTATATGATAAATTTGTTCTTTTTGAGGTTTCCATTACAGATCCTGCAACTAAACCATTTGCTGTGTTCCTTACATACAACCTGCCATCGACTGGCTTCGTTCGTTTGTTCATACCACAAGTTCTGCAGGGGATAACCGGTCGTACATACTACGTCGATAACACCACTTCTTTAGTGAAACGGGACTCATGTGAGCATTTCCTTTTTTTCAGTGTTATAAAAAATACTGAAAATTGTTTATGTTTTGGCAGTATGTGCACTTACAAGTCTTTTTTTTGCTGATGATTAACTTCAATTGCCAATTTTATTATTATTTTACACATATATTTTTACGGAGCGCAGGCCCTCAGAAGGAGGGGGTTCATTCAAAACGGGGCCGATGGTAGGTGACACGAAGACTAAGCCCAGGAGAAGGGAAGAACGCCAGGAAAACACAAATGTTCACATCCTCCCGAGAATCCATTCCCCTCCCTGAGGCTCAGTCCCAAGTACAGTAATTGGCTCATAACTCGAATGTCCCCCCACCTCCGACTCCATGAGCTCAACCTTATAGCTACTGGTTTTATATAGTTTCGTTTATTTAGAGAATATTGAAGAATTGGAAATTCTCAACGTTGTTCTTTTAAGATCGCTCACAATACGTGGTTCTAGTCTACCGTACCGCTCAGCCGATCGACGCCAACATGCAAAACTCAATCAGTCTGGATATCAATTCTACAGGTACGTTGAGTTGACTGCGGGTTCGTGGCTTCTGTGGACTTGTATCTCAAGAAGTCGCAGAAAATCGGTCATATTGCCAAGCGCTTATGTAGAGCCCTGATGTGTCTGATTTACAGTAAGTAGTGAGCATTACCTAAGTTATGAATATTCAATTTGAATTCACAATTAAAGATTGATACTGCATGTATGAGTGCAATAATGTTTTGCTTCTTGTCAACGACCAAACTCCAGCGAACAAACTTGGCAGGCCCGATCGCCGGCAGCATTTTTTACGTCAGTTTCCGCGCCTTAATCGAGCATATTTTAGTCACTTCAAAAAACAGGCGATTGGAAAAGGTGGATTATTGGGCTCCAAAACCAGCGTAAATGTGGTAGGTGGCCAGAACTCACGAAAGAAAGCTCAGAATTGCTGAGAACCCTTATATGGCCCTTAGGTTCATAGTGACAAATAGTCCAGTGGAAGGAAGAAACGGAGTGCGATGTCTCTTTATAGACGCGCAACGTGAGTTTAAAGGCAGTGGTGCGAAAGAGTGAGAGGCGAGCGATTTGACGTATTAAAAGACGAATCACGCTGGAAAGGCAACCATCCAAATTAAGTTGCAATATGATGTTGGCTACCTAAAGAAGGAAAACCATGGCGAAACGGCCCAGAACTGAGAAATGGACACTTTCCTTGCCGCATTGCATTTGCAGCATTGATGCGGATATCAGCTCTGTAGCCTCTTATCCTGCACTCTCTCACCTATCTATTGATTCGCCAGTATAGACCTGCGGCGACGGATCAGATTGATCGGTAGCGTCTGCACTGACCCGCTCGCGCGAGGGACTAAACTTAATGGTCAACTGAGGTCAATTCCTTCCTGTGCAAAGTGTGCTTCCATCGCACTTAGGAGCTCCGCCGGTCCCCCAATCAGGGAATTCCTTCCCTGATTCGATTTCCCTCTGATCGTGAATTCGTCCTTTAATTTGGCTTCCTGGACGGGCGCTGGGCATGTGGTCCTATCACCTTACCGTCAAACCACTACGCCTCTTGGCCGTCACACTAACAACTTCGTGTTACATTAGCAGTTTCCTTTGCCGTCCTTTATTTCTCTTCAACCAATCATCACATCACGGAGCTATATCCCACACCTATTCAATCGCAGAATGTGTATCTGAACCTGTCAAGATATAAAAAAACATTTTGAACTCTAGATGGATGATTGGGTACACCATTGGGTTGAGAAATACTGAGGCTAGGGATCACTACCTCAAGCATCTCTTTAGCTGTTGGAGTTACGGTAGCCCCTATTTTATGGACTCTCCCTTTCACTTGGCTGTTGTCTTATCGCGACTATACATTGCGTTTGGCCAAGTGAAGTGGACAGGTTGAGGTGTAGCAAATGCTGGGGCCATTTTTCCCTAGGGAGCTACGAAGGTGGCAAAGGCCACCTCCCGTGAATGGAATCGAGAAAGTGACTTTTTTCCTCTATATAGTGTTCGGTGCTGGACCACTTGCCCTCAGTTTACCTCTGTTTCCGGAGATGAGACATGTCGTAATTGCAGACTCTGCAGAGCACGGCCTCGAAAAAATCGATATCGCCTGGTTTTAGTGCTCTAGATATCATCCGATGCCAAATGCATCATTAAGTTAATGCAAATACGAGACGTATCTCCCCATTTGTTACAGCCCATATTTTTCTGCTCGATTTGCCAACGTAATTTCAGGTCACCACGGAGAGCACCATGTTCAAAACAGTTGAAGTGAATCACGCATCAATGACGTCTATTTCCTTGTTCGCTCAAGCCTTTGTTTTTTCCTTTGTTTCAAGTGTTAATATGGAATTTCCTCTGAGCAAATGCATAGTTCATTAAGTTATAATTTGAAGTTTTCCTTGAATAAATGTATTAAATACCTATCAGATTTCGTCGGAAGTAGTGCGGAATATACTTTTGGGACCGTTCAGTAGGGAGGCATGTAACTGCGACAGTTCATGTCGCATGAAGTAAACAAGTTTTTCCAGGGTGAAGAAACCCTCCGGCATGGGTGCAAAAGCGGAAGGGGCTTCCGCACCACGGGATTTCTGCAGCAACTGAAATTCTGTAGGCGGCAACAAACTGTCGCACCATATGCCTGCCTTACGACTGAACCCTCTTTTAACAGCCATTGCTGCTAAAACCCTGAATGAAGGGCAGAATCACACAGGCGGCCAATTTTATTTATTTTTACTTTTATTTTTTTATTTTTATTTTATTTTATCGCAGCCAATTTTTGCTCTCCAACCGGGGCTAATACGAGAAAAGCGCTAAAATGCTATTTCTGGGCCAGCTAATCAAAGCGCCAGCAACCAATATTACCTTACGTGAG